CCCATAGTTCCTAACACCCCAAAAGCAGGGTCCCGACGAGGGACTGAATGGACCCAGGGCAAGCAGTGAGCTACCCTGGCAGCGAAATGGGCCAGGCCAAAGTGCCACGATTCTTAACTATAAGTTAAGAGTTTGATCATAGACAAATGCTGTCATGATCCAAAGGTAACGACAAGACTAGGATCCTGCTAGGGGTGGGAAAGACTATCTGGCCTGAGCACCGTAGTCTGAGATCGAGATGGCCCTAGGAGAGCAATTCTATAAGTTTAAGATATTTCTTACTGTATCCATACAAAATGATTTATATAATATTTTATATGCTTGTTGGACAAGGAGAGGAGAGGCACGCCCATGGAATTCTGCTCTAGGGTGGGTCCTCCTGCTAAGGAAGGATCTGTCCTAGGAGCGGTCTTCCCTGAGGCTAAGATTTCTACCCCTGTTCATCTCCACCCCTATTGATTGTGACCACACCTATGTGTAATTGTTCCCCCAATTCCTCAGGAGAGAGGATTTAACTGTACTGTAGGAGTGAGATAGGGGCAGGAGAAGGAAGAAGAGAGTTCAGAGAGGGGCAGGAGAAGGAAGAGAGTTCAGAGAGGGGCAGAAGGAAGAAGCAGAAGTTCAGAGAGGATCAGAAGGAAGAGGAGGATGAAGGGGGATGGGGAAGGAGAATGAAGTAGCATGGGAGCAGAGACAGGAGAGACGAGGAGAAACAGAGAGAGATGGGAGCAGAGAGAGAGAAGGAGAGACAGAAGGAGAGATGAGGAGAGAATCAGAATAAACTACGACTAATACCTACCAGCCTGGCCCTCGTTCCTTCCTCCGCCTGACCATCGCCATCGACCTCTCCGGGGTGGTAGAAGGGTGAGACTACCGAACGCGGGTGGCGGGAGAGATAGAGCCGCCGCCGTGTGGGTGCCGTGCCCCCCAATTTGTGTGAGTTTACACAATCAGTTATCTAGTATTAATCATTCACTGGCTGAACCCTCACTGCAAAGTACTAAATATCTTACCTTGGTCCTTCCAGATGCCCCTGCTAGGATGTTTGGTCTTCTGAAGGTTGACTTACATGGAGTGTATCAACATGCTCCCTTCTCTTCCTGGGTTAGGTCAATTGAGAGAGATGAGCAGGAGACTGGAGGGAGACAGGAGAGAAGATTGAGAATTTATTTATTTATGATTATTGAACCAGACCCTGCAGTGTTCGAAGCTTACACCTGGTTCTGCAATCAGGAATCAATCCTGGAGGGGCTCCAAGGACCACTTTGGGTGCTGGGGATGAAACCCAGATCCCCTGCATGCAACGAAAGTGTCATCTGCTGTACTATCTCTCGTCTGCAGATTATTTGTCTCCAGCCCCATTTTTTCTAGTTCTTTATGGGCCAGCTGACTCCCTGAACTACAGAACACAACTTAGGTCAGGGAGTACTTTCCAAACAGCTCTCTTCTGATTTTTTCCCTTTCCCCATTTCTCTTTCAGAGATGCCTTCTGTTGAAACCAACCTAGGGGTTCTGCATACAATTCTTTGGGGTTTCCACTGTCACTGTCCTCCCGTTGTTCATCGATTTTCTCGAGCGGGCCCAGTAACGTCTCCATCGTGAGACTTTGTTGTTACTGTGATTGGTATATTGAATACATCACGGGGAGCTTGCCAGGCTTTGCTGTGCGGGCGAGATACTCTCGGTGACTTGCTAGGCTCTCTGGAAGGGGCGGAGGAATCGAACTCGGGTCGGCCATGTTGGCTGCGTGCAAGGCCCTACCCACTGTGCTATCGCTCCAGCCCCTGTCTTGACTATACCTTTTAAAATATTTTCTTTAAGACATGCTCTCCAAATGATCTAATTAGAGCTTGCTTTTTTCCTGTTGGGACCCTGATTCAATAATTTATGAAATTCTATAGGGAGACAAGAACAGAGTAGTTAATTTGCTCAAGGTCACATAGGGGAGGAAATAATACATGTATATATTATTATCACCGTAATCTCAGACCTAATCTAAAATAAAATTTATTTTTATTACTAAAGATATAAAAATGTACAGGAGAAACAAGTCAAAGAGCAAAAACATATTTACTCTTCTTTATTCCATTTATTATTTATATATAAAGATCCACATTTTTATCTCCAGTCAAATTCCTGCTTTGATACTCAGGGTTTTTGTTTGTTTTACTATAACTTTCATCTGGATGTTCCAGAGGCATGTGAAATCCAACATATTGAAAACTCTGATCATGATCTTCCAAATCATATCAGTTTTACATGTTTATGTCTCTAATATATCTACAACTTCCCAGCTACACTGCCATACCCACCTCTGGCCAAGACAACATCACCTCTTTCCTCGAAGAATTCTAAACTTCAGTCTCCCTGTATCTATCAATTCTTGTGCCTTTCAATCCATTATTCACATAGCAGGCAAGGAGACTTTTTCAAAATGGAATCTAATCTCATGGCCTCTAGTTTAAAATCTTGCAGTGACCTACACTGCTTTAAAATAGAGTTGGCCCAGATGGCCTCAACAGCTTGATCTCCTGCACTTTACTTCCTATTGCCCTTTCACTGGCTTTCCAATGCTCTAATCAGCCACACTTCTTTCACTGCAAGCCATTGAATCCCTATTGTATTCTCTTCTGGAGATTTGTCTACAGTATTCAAAGGTACCATCCAGAATAATTAAAACAGCCTAAAGTGTACTTTAAGTATATTATTTCCTTTCTGAATGTCTCACAAGAAAAAATGGCCCCAATTTCATCTTAAATCTGAACTCCATTTCTAGGAAGCTAAAACTATTCAAACTTGATAAAATAAAACATTTGGGGGTGGGGGAAGTGCACCTAGCAGTGCTAAGGGATACTCCTATCGGGCTCCTAGGACCATATGGGTTGTCAGGCATGGAAACGAGGTTTTTAATCATATACAAGGCAACTAGGTCCCTACCCATTTTACTATTGCTCCAGCTCACGAAATTATTTTTTAAAAAAAAACAAGTATTTTAATTTAGGCACTGTGATTTATAAATGTGTCCATAGCAGGGTTTCAAGCATATTCTAAATTCAGTTCCCTAAGTTTATTTAACAAGGCACTGTTACAATGGATGGTGAAGGGGGTAAACGGTGAACGTGTAAAACAAATCTTACAGGTATTAACAGACATTAGTTTACCTTCTAGACTGCACTAAATTGGACTTAGATAATCACATCCATTTTTGAGGGTTCTATTGATAAAGAGAACCCAGATACGAAATGGACCTACTCATCTAGGCTTGGTTAAAAACCTCAGCCTGAAATACCCCAGAGAATCACTTATTGAAATTTTCCCAGCAAGAGAATTCCTACTCCCCCGCCCCGGCCCCAGGCCCCTCGAGGGGGAGGGCGAGGCCTCCAAGACCTTACCCCGCCCCTTTTGACGTCACAAAGGAACCAGCCCAAGTGGGGCGGACGTTTGGAGATGCCGTTAAGTTCGTTTGTTTCAGTTATCTGCTTCCCTAGGTCCATCCTGTCCCAACGTCTTTTCTCAAGAGGGGTCAAAAGGCATCGGGTTGAGACCCGCATGCCGTCGTTCTTAGGCTCTGCCAGCCAACGAACAAACCGGCCCTTTGCTCCGCCCAGTTTCCGTGGCACCGCCCAATCCTCGTGGAAGATAGGGGTTTAGGGCTGCGCCCGCCCAGCTGCACGCTAATGGGGCGGAGCCAGACCACTGCGACGCGCGGCCTCAACGCCAGGGCCGGACGGCCAGTCTGGGCGGGATTTTGAGAGAGGGCGGGATTACAAACTCTCGGGCCGGGAGTCGCCTGCTCGTGGGGGCGTGGCAAAGGACGACCGTTAGCCTAGGCCCCGCCCTGCCCCGCTCTAGACCACTCCGCGGTCCCACAGCTCCGCCCCTCCCACAGCGGAAGTGGTCGCAAGGCTGCGGCGCGAAGCGCTCAACGTGCTCGCAGCCATTCTCGGCGCCACGCTGCTTTCTACTCTCGGTTACCAGATGCAGATCGCAGAGGACTGATAAGGACTTCAGAGACTTAAGACTCGGGCTAGATGTCGACCACTCGCCCGAGTACCCCCGAGGGGGATGTCCCAGCCGTCGCTGCGGCCGTCCCTGAGGCCGTCCCTGCTGCCGTCCCAAGCGCCGTCTCGGATGATGTCCCAACCGCCCTACCCGCCGACGACTCAACCGCCGTATCTGCTGATGTCCCAGCCGCCGTCTCAGCCGCTTCAGATATTGACAACACACGTGCAGAAGTTTCAGGTCCTCATCTCCCTTTTGTCACTTCAGTGGGGTCCATCGCTGACTCCACCACGCCCACAATCTCCACCTACCCAGGGCTTTCCAGCGTGATGACTCCGTCATCTAGTATCTCCCCGCGAGTGTCGTCAATCGAGAGCGAGTCACCCATGCTCCCTAGTTTAGTGACACTAAGTGAACCAGGAGTTCCTTCTCCCGGTTACAGGTCTGAGGCATTGGCACATGGCGTCTGCCTGCCGCCCACTTTAGGCTTCCCGTGGGATATGCTAGGAGGATTTGAACCCGCCGGTGCCTGTCGCGCCTCAGCCCAAGAGCACCCCTTAGTGTGCGGCCTCCCTGACCCAGATGCAAAAGTCCCGTTCTCAGACTCCTCTCGAGAGTCCATCCAAGGGTCCGCACCCTCTTCGTTACCCATGTCGTCCCGGCTCTCAATCCTGGACCCTTCCTTCTCAGAATCCTCCCGCTACTCGTCGGAGTTAGGGTCCAGCCTGTCTTCCTTGCCTAGCACCGTCCGAGAAATGATGCTCCAGCCTCTCACTCCCATGAACTCCCTAGGATCGGGCATAGATTTCAGCTCAATAACGGGACTTAGCCCCCTAGTTTCTAGCCAAGACGCGTCTTCGTCCCTGGACTATTCGAGAGCCACGGCCGCTGGCTTGGTGCCGCCCTGCCGCGGCTTCGCACCGCCCAGCCAGCCGAGCTCCTCCCAGTTCGGGAGTGATGAATCGTCAATGCTCTCGCGCCCCCAAACCCGGAGACTGCAAGAGTCCGCCGCAGCACTGGACCTTTCCGCTCCTTTTCACAAGCATTGGGGCTCTGCGAGGCCAGCCATGGCGAGTCCGGAGAAGACCAGGATCCACAAGTCCGATGTCGTGGTGCTAGGAGGCGGCATCTCAGGTGAGTATAGACCTTCGCGGTATTCTTGTTGCGCGCGGAGCGGGGGGTGGGGGGGTGGCTTGTACCCCTGGGCCAAGAAATTTGCAGCCCAGCGCCGTGGCGTTGGATGGGGACGGAGGACTGGGGCACGGGTGGGCTTGCTGGTGCAGGACTGTGGATTATCAGTGTCCAGGCCCGGATCCTGGCGCGAGTGGGGGCTGGGCCAGCGTTACTGGTGTGAACTGGGAATGCAGTAGGGACAATCTTTTTACTATTACTACTCACGTGAAATGCTGACATGGAATTAGCTCATATTTTGCAGTTATGCGTTTGCCCTTTACGTGGAGCTTGTTATTCAGTCCTGTGATGTGAATACTCCTTTTGTGCCTGTTAAAGAATATTTAAAAACAAAACCAGAAAACGAGGCCAGGGCTAGGGTTGGAGGGATCGATAATTAGAAGTCAGTTTGCCTAACTGAGAAGTGACCGTGATTTTGTTCCTGTTTAAGACCCTCATGATTTCTGAGATGGTGGCTGCTTTTGATTTCATGTGCTTTGCTTTAAACCAAATCTGTCCTGTCGTATTTTAGTCTTGCTCTTTTCTAGTCATCCTTGAAAATTTGCTAAGTGAAGGTGGAAAAAATTTAGGAAAAGATTGAGAGGCTGAACACCTAGTTGTAATTTTGTCCTGTCGTTTTTAGAACTTGCATGCAGGAAGGCGTAGGGCATTTACTGACCGAAGAGAATTCCTTTGTGTTGTCGGGCTGAGGGTTGGTCAGGGAATTCCCTTGGTCCTAATTTAAAAATAATTCCACTGCCTGAATCTTGTCTTCAGGAAACTGCTTGGCAGTCAACCCTTTCGTGATCCTAGCTTGGGTTTGTTGTAGCTGACCAGTTGTGTGGTACGCGAGACTTTTTAGGAAATCTTATTGCAGTGAACACATCGCATTGTCGACGTATTGTGTCTTAATTTGGGAAAAATGTTTGAAATTTCTAAATTCCGTTTTAATATGATGTGCTTTATATTCTCAATTGTGTGTTATGCCTTTTGCTGTACATACGGAAGCTCAGAAGGACACACATTGTTTTATTCTTGACTGGGTAAAAAAAATACTTTTTTTAGCCAGACTTAGAAACCTACGCTGTCCACTCCCATAAATGTATTTCTGAAATAAATTTATAGGACCTGGCTTATAAAGAGGGGGAAAGGTGGGAGGGAGTATATAAGGGTTTCCTCTATTTACTCCCTGTAGCCATTTCTATGTATAACATTTTTGAAGAGACTGACAGCATGCTAATTGCTTCTGGGTGGAAATAGCTTTTGATGTAACCTGTTGAAGTTAGTCTTAGAGTGGAGACTGGTTTGAATTGTTGCTTTGACAACTATAGCCAGTTTCAGCAAAAACATTTTCATATCCTGGGGCATTGGAAGAAAGCAGATACTGGTGAAGAGTAAGAAAAAGAAATATTTCCCTTTTTTTGCTTTTATTCATCCTTTGAACACTTACTGAGAGCTGGCAATGAAGCGGGATAGTGGGTCTGAGAATCTGGTCCTAGTCAAGCCTCCTAGAAGCAATCTATATTTTTGTTACATGCAGAAATGAATATAATGATACTCAGTCGTGTAAATTGATTTTGGAGTTCTGTCTCTTCTTTATAACACATAAATTTAACAATTAAGGTTTTTTTCCCCTGGGATTGTATTGTTTTGGTGCTCCACTATTCCTAAAAGAGCATTTTGTTCTTTTTGCTCTCTCTCGCTCTATGTGCTGTTTTCCTTTTCCACACTTTACTCCCAGTTCTTGGTTGTGAACAGAGGTTTATTTACCATGTTGGTGCTTATACATTAGGACCTTTAAGCTGCAGTTTGCTTCTGATTTTCTTTCTAATTAAAATTACAAATTATGAGTGGTACTCTCAAAATCAATCTATGTCAAGGAAATTAGATTTCATTTTTATAATTATTTTCAACTGCAAAAATAATTGCAGCATTTTAATATTTCCTTTTTGTCAAAGTAAAATGCATAAAACAGCTAGGCAGCTTCCCCTCTTGTTCTGGCACCTTATAAACCATCTTTAAGTCACAATAATCCCTGGTTTCTGTCCACTTGCCACTTAAATCATTTTGCGTACTATGTGAGTAGTTGAGAGAGGGGAAAACGCTGCTTATTTCAGTGGAATACCTTCTTTAAAGTGCTTTCACCTTTATTCATCCATTACTCTTCAGCCATTCCTTTATGAAACTCCTTTCGTGTTTTTTTGTGTCACTGCTGGATCCTGAATTTTAATCCTGCATTGATCTGTGCTTTTTGTTCCTTTAATTGTGGCTGTAGTCTTGCAATCTTCCAGCTTCAAAATGGCTCAGAGAATCAGCTGTTCATCAGTTAGGGGCCCTGCATCTATCCTCATTTTACAACTTCTTTCCCTTATCTGTATAAAGTTCTTAAGTCTCTAATTTGGATTATTTTCTTTGTCTGAACTACCTATTGTCCCATAGCTTGTCTATTCCAGGGTGTGTTTTTTTTTTCACACTTGAATGTCTTGTTCCTACTTCATTGTCCACATGTCCCAAGAACTATATTCTCCAACCTAGCTTGTTTTCCTCATTCCTTTGACTGTCACCATTATCCCTTTTTTAAAAGCTTTACCTTAGCTTCTTTAGCTGTGAACTTCTGACACCATATGGGTTTACATAGCTGAATGTGGGGGTCCTGAATATTTGACAATAGTAAAAGGTTTCTGAGTGTATAATTAACAAAAGCGATAGCACAGCGGGTAGGGCGTTCGCCTTACAAGCGGCCAACATGGCCGACCCGAGTTCGATTCCTCCGCCCCTCTCGGAGAGCCCGGCAAGCTACCGAGAGTATTCGATATGCCAGACACAGTAACAACAAAGTCTCCAATGGAGATGTTACTGGGCCCGCTCGAGCAAATCGACGATCAACGGGAGGGCTTTTACCAATTCAAAATCAAATGCATAATAAATATGAGGTGTTTCTGGTAGCGCTCGCCTATCTTGTATTTTTTAGGTGAAAGGGAGTTGCTAGTGGAAAAAGTTTAAGAAACCCTGCTGTATCTTGTCAACAGAGATTTCTTATCTTTGTTGCTACTCCTATTTTCCATTCCCGGTGATTCTTTTGACTCAGCTGGTTATGACTCATCTTCCCAGTGGCCCCCTTTGCTTTGGGCTCCTTATTTGCGTACACCCTGTAGTGTTCTCTGAGACTTGATCTTTTAAACAATTCTTTCAATCCTTTGCTTTTCCTCAGATATTTAATAGTCTTTCACCAGCCTTTCACATTATCTGACTTCACCATGGGACAAGTAGCATTTCCTGCTATCTCTGTCATGGACTTGAGTTTTATTCATGCTGGTTTTTTTTATCCTCAGTGGAATACCATGTTTATTTTGTTCCTTCATTCCTTCCTTGTTCTTGCTATTTTAAACATACAAGTGCTTTATTTCTGGCCATTTATATCCTATCCATTTTTTTATCATTCTTGATTCCCCTTAATTTTTCTTCTCCTGGGAAGCATTTATCTGGAAATTCACATTTATTTTTATCTCTATTTTGTGATGCCATTTTAAATATAGCAGTTTAGTTGCTGACATTACATGCAAGTCCTCTCATTTATGACCTAATGTAGATGTGACAAATGACAGAAACTAAATAGCAGTAGACTTAAAAATCTGCCCTTAACGGAGAATTTCTGAATTGGATCTCTTTTGGGAAATCAAAAAAAATGAAAGGAAGGAAGGAAGGAAGGGAGGGAGGGTGGGAGGGAGGGAGAAAAAGAGAAATGCCCACCTCCAGGGTACAATGTAAATTTCAGTCTCTTAGAGTGAAAAGGCAGGCTTTCTCTAATTTGTTTCACTGAGCTTGATATCCTCTTTTCGTATTTGTATTGTTGTAAATGGAAATTTTAATACGTATTTTAATATGTTAGTATACTTTAGAAATATAGAAGCCAAGCTAAGTAAAACTCTAACAAACTTAGATTATCAGCTCAAATTAGTGGTTGCTAGAAGGATGGGGGAGTGAGGTGGGCAAATCAGGTAAAAGGGGTCTTTTATGGTGGATAGAATTGGACTTTCTAGTTGAATTATGATGCACACCTGCAACTTTTTGTTTTAATGCCATATTACTTTAATACAAAAATTTCTTAAAATAAATTTATTAAAAATAAAAAATATATTTTTAAATGGATGGAGCGATAGCACAGTGGGTAAGGCCTTGCATGCGGTCAACATGGCCGATCTGGGTTCGTTTCCTCCGCCCCCTCAGAGAGCCTGGCAAGCTACCGAGAGTATCTCGCCCGCACGCCAAAGCCTGGCAAGCTCCCCGTGATGTATTCGATATGCCAAACACAGTAACAACTCACAATTTCTTGTGAGACATTACTGGTGCCTGCTCAAGCAAATCGATGAACAATGGGAGGACAGTGCTACAGTGCTATATTTTAAAAAGACAGTATAGTTCAAATACTTAGGATTTTAACTATCCTCAGTGATTATTTGACTATCAATGGCTAGATCATGGCGAAAGAGGTATATAAAAATGAGATCAGGGCAGGGGAGATAGCTCAAGTGGTAGAGCACATGAGAGGTCCTGAGTTTGATTCCCCAGCACAGTAGGTCCCCTGAGCACTGCTGGGAATATCCGTGGTGCTGTCCACCAAGGCTGGGCTCTCAAACACCTAACCATCAGGCCTGCACAACTGGGCCAAGGATTGAAGGATGTGGTTCCTACTAACAACAAATGAGTAAATAGTGTCCCTGCAAGTAAGATGCCCCATTATTTGTAAGAAGTAATCAAATGGGAAAATAATTTACATTAATATTAATATGAGAGAAATGCTTACATCGTGAAATGAGCACCATGAGCACCAATATATAAAATAAGATGATAGGGAAAAAGGACCAAAATAAGGGCTAGAGAGATAATACAGTTTGTAGACTGCTTGCCTTGCACTGGCGACCCAGGTTTGATCCCTTGTACCACATGTGCTCCCTTTCCCCCTG